GAAGCTCATCTGAAACCTGTCCATCATGGGTGACCCTGCTGGTATTTAAAATACTGGTGGCATAGCTTCCAGAATCACAGCAACTCACAAGCCACCACAGTATGACAAATTGACAGATGAGAGAGTTATATGAAGAAAAATGTGGTATCAGGATTGGAGGAAGGCTCATTAACAACCTGAGATATGCAGATGATACAACCTTGCTTGCTGAATGTGAAGAGAACTTAAAACATTTACTAATGAAGATCAAAGAGCACAGCCTTCAGTATGGATTACATCTCAATGTAAAGAACACAAAAATCTTTACCACTGGACCAATAAACAACATTTCTATCAATGGAGAAAAGATTGAAGTTGTCAAGGACTTCATCCTTCTTGGATCAACTATCAACACTCATGGAAGCAGCAGTCAAGAAATCAAATGACATATTGCTTTTGGCAAATCTGCTGCACAAGACCTTTTAAAAGTGTTAAAAGAGCAAAGATGTTAGCTTGAGGACTAAGGTGCACCTGACCCAAGCCATGGTATTTTCAGTAACCTCATATGCATACAAAAGCTGGACAGTGAATAAGGAAGACCATAGAAAAACTTATGCTTTTGACTTATGGCATTGGAGGAGAATATTGAAAGTGACATGGGCTGCCAAAAGAACCAATAGATCTGTTTTGGAAGAAGTGCAGCCAGAGTGCTCCTTGGAGGCCAGGATGGCCAGGCTTTGTCTCTCATACTTGGGACATGTTGTCAGGTGGGATCAGTCGCTGGAGAAGGATATCATGCTTGGTTAGGTGGCAGGTCAGAGAAAAAGAGGAAGACCCCAATGAGATGGACAGGCCAAGTGGCAGCATCGATGGACTTAAGCGTGGCAACAGTAGTGAGGTTGGCCCAAGATCGGGCAGTGTTTTGTTCTTCTGTGCATAGGGTTGCTATGAGTCAGTACTGACTCGGTGACACCTAACAACAATAACAATGTAGAGTAAACGTAGGATAATAGAGGGAGATGAGATCATTTATTCCCTAATGCCTTTTCCACAAGGTACCCTTGGACTAGCTGCAACCCTCAGACAAAGGGCACAGCATTCTTCAAACTGGTCCCCTTGGCACAACTTTCTGATTCTAGGTTCCATAATTATCCTCTGGCCTCTCTCCTAAAGCCTTCAACAACACATGCCTATACGCTCCTTTATCGTCCCCTTGCACCCTGACCATACCTTTGTAAAACTCTTTATTAAAACAATCCTCAAACTGGAATCTTGACTAATATACAAATATAAAATCCAATGAGCAAGGAGAGAGAGGAAAATCAAGGACAACAGATGGAGACCACAGCAAAATTACAGGGAGGATATGAACTTGACAGGAAGCAATGGGGATGAATAGAGGTTGCTGGTGGATGAACTACTGTAGAAGGGGAACTAGCAGGATTTGGCAGTGGCTGGACTTTTTCTTGTCCTCTTCCCTTCTCCCCCATCCCCTACGTAAAGATGACTGAAGTTTCTAATTTGAGTGACCGGCATGATAATTAACCAGTCTGGAGTCATTAACAGGAAGATTCCCTCTGCTGCTTCGAAAATGCCTTTCACCCTTCCCAGGCAGAGCTGCAGAAGACTGGTGACAACAGTGGACATCTGCTTACCAGCCCCCAAAGCACTTTCCTTCCCAGCTCAGGGGTCTATTGTTCTCTTCACCTCTCTCTCTGGTCAATGTCTCCTCTTCCTCTCACCGTCCAGTAGGTTTAATTTCCCTATCATGTCTGTTGTGATACCTAAATAAAATGATTCTGAGCAGGCCACAGTTCAACCACTTCTAAGTCCCCAACACCCTGTTCAACCTTGATGATGAATAAGTTGTCACATCTCTCTGAACCAGATAAATTACAAATTTTAACATTTACCTCATAAACCAGGAAGCTGAAACCCCGAATCATGGAACAACACAGATATTTTAAGGAACGCTGGTGGGCCAGGCAGTTATCTAATCACCCATTGGTTAAAACAAATATGTGTACACACAGAACACACACACACATGAAGGGGCTTCAACAAGTTTGTGGGAAAATCCCATTGTCCTTTAGTACCATTTTCTCCACAAGCTTTTTGAGGCCCTTATACATTCAAAAGAGTCCTGGTGTTGTGCTGTGGGTTAATGCTCTGGACTGCAAGGTCACTTTGAACAGCAAGGTCGGTGGTTCAAGCTCACCAGCTGCTCCTTGGAAACCCTATACAGGGTCGCTATGAGTCAGACCGACTCAGTGGCACTTCACAACAAAAACAATATATTCAAAGGAGTCCTGGTGTGACCCTGTGAGATAATGCACTGGACCACAAGGTTGGTTTGAACCAGCGATGCAAACTTATCAGCCACTCCTTGGAAATCCTATATAGGGTTGCTATGAGTTTGAACCAACTCTAAGGCACTTAACAACATCAACAATATATTCAAAAGAAGGCAAGAAAGAGTAGAAAAATGAACAAGCAGGCATAGCCAATAGAAGAAAAGAAGCTGGTAGTTATAAAGGCATGTACATAAGCAATAACAGCCCTAAGTACATAGTCCAGAAAGTAATATCAGGATTGCAGAGTTGAGTTGTTCATTGAGTGGAATCAGAGTAAGAGGAAAAGGAGTTCAGAAGGAGAGAGGTGGTGCAGTGTGAAGGTGAATAGCAATATTAGGAGCTTGCCTTCCCCAAAATGTTTGTGAGATGATGTACATTAGAGTGACCTGGGCTGGCATAAAAGGGTTTATTGTTGTTGTTTGCCATGGAGTCGGTTCCGACTCATAGCGACCCTGTACAGGGCTTTATGGGAGCAGAAAGCCTCATCGTTCTCCCATGGAACAGCTGGTAGTTTCGAACTGCTGACCTTGAGGTTTGCAGCCCGATTCGTAACCACTGTGCTACCAGAGCTCCTTGGCATAAAGGGTAGGAGAGGGTAACAAAGCAAGGAATAAAAATTCTTTCTCTCACTCCAATCAGTAACTACTAGTTTCTGACATAAAAAGTGCACTGATACGTTCCATAGTTTACAAAGCTTTCACATCCAATATGCTACCTGTCCATCGCTGCTCTGACATAGAACAAGTTGAATTATAATCCAATTTTATATGTAATGAAATAGAGACCTGGAATCATTTTTAAGTAACTTCTCTGAAATCATACCCTGGAACTAGAAACAAAGTCTTTTTAAAAAATTAGTTTAAAAAGTGGTCAACTATATGTATATAAATTAAAACACCATTCTAACACTTTTAAGAGTGTAATTCAGTAACAGTAAGACATTCAGATGTTGTGCAAATATTATCTCTATTCATTTCCAAATGAGAACCTAAATAGCACCATTGCTCATCCAGAACTTCAAGCCACATGACCTTTTAAGATAAGTAACAGAGACTTTACAACCTATTCTTTTTGCCATGCATGTTTTGGCCCCTAAATGTTTGGAGTGTTTGTTCATTTTTTTCTAGCAAATAAGTCAGCACTGCCAAAGAGTTATGAAAATTAAATAAGCAAATAAACAGGAAGCTTTGTCACACAGTAGATATCTGAGATGCATGAAACCCCTAGCAGATGAATCGGATCTTCAGGAACGTGGCTACAGGTCCAGCAGAAACTAGGAACAGAAGGGGACAAGAAGATGGATAGGGCACAGATCAAACCTTCCAAAGCTCCCAAATGAGAAGCACAAAGGAAGAAGAACATAAATAACCTCAAAAAAAAAAAAAAGTCAGACCAAACACTGTGAGAAAAACAGAAAGAACAGTGAGGGAGCTACCACACAGGTCTCTGGATTGACAAAAGTAGAGTTGTTTTAGAGTATCTGGATGATCTAAGTAGAAGGAGTGGCAAGAACACCTGGGCAGAAGAAAAGTATTAAAGTATTAAAGAGTCAGAATGTCAAGGTTAGTGGTTCTCTTGACTTGAGCCACAAAGCTAGGGCCATTACCTTTCTAAACAATGCCACCACCACGATGACAGCTGTGCAGCACACCAGGGCTGTGACCATGGCGCCAAGCCAGAACTTCTGGAATCCAGCGTTGCGTTTGGCCACTACAGGGAGGAGGAAATAGACATGAGTGGCAGTAGCCTGAAAGAAGGCAAGCTATTGTTTAAGGAAGTCACAACTTCCTGGCCCAGAGGCAGGAACTGACCAGGCCCTGTCTCTAATCAGAGGACCAGAGACTTTACATCTAGCTCTTTAAACAGCAGTGCATCAGCCTGGACCATCATGTACTCAGTACATTCCATTGGTCAACATACTCTTTGCATTTGACACCCAGAATAGATCATTTTTTAATACCCTCTCCCTTTATATGGTATGGCACTGTAGGATAAGCACTCGACCACAAAGCTGCTTTGAACAGCAAGATTGATGGTTCAAACCCACCAGTCGCTTCTTGGAACCCCTAAACGCTATGAATCAGAACTGACTAGATAGCACTTAACAACAACAAATCTTTTATATGATAAAAATCATTTTCAATAATAATTTTAAAACACACAAAAAAAATACTGTTCTAAAACAATCACAGAAAGTTAAATTATTTTGTTAAATTCCATATACAGAATCACATCAGTAAAGAATGCTTCATTAAAATGAAATTAATATTACAGTCCAAAAACATAATTATTTATTCAATAATTTTTCTATCTACCTATCATCTTTAACTTTTATCCTTTTATTGTTGTTAAGTGCCATTGAGTCAGTTCTATATGACTCATTGTTGTTGTTGTTAGGTGCCATTGAGTCGGTTCCGGCCCATAACGACCCTGTACAGGGTTACAAGGAGCAAGTGGTAAGGTTGAACGGCTGACCTTAAGGTTCAAACCGACTTTGTAGTCCAATGCATTAGCCCACAGCACTACACCAGGACTGGGTTTCTAGGGAGCAGCTGGTAGTTTCAAACCGCTGACCTTTCAGTTAACAGTCCAGTGCTTATTCTACAGTGCCACAACAGGATTGTGCCCTTTCATTAAAGTCTGGTATAATATTTTATGTCAATAATTACTTAGTAATCAATAAGTAAATTTTAATAAAACTGAAACATCTGAAAAAGGTGTAGTTATTATCTCATTTATTCTTTTGTTTTAAAACCGGTAATTTGAAAAAGATTAATATATTTTAATCTTAATGATATTACTAAAATTCAGTAAAATATTTCACATACGAATGAAAATACTACATGTTTCCATTTTTATTGTGCTTCATTTTAAAACACAAATAGAAACTCCAAGAGATCCCATAGAATGACAGAGTTGAATAATTCAAGTTCAATTTCTTCATTTTTACAATTCCCATGGCGTAGGATCGGGCAGTATTTCGTTCTGCTGTGCATAAGGTTGCTCTGAGTCAGTACCTACTCGATGGCACCTAACAACAAATGGTAGCATTGTTTATTGAGTATCTACTGTTTAAAGGTAGAAATACGTAGTATCCACAGATGCTGTATATAGGATAAGCACTGGACAGCTAATTGCATGGTCAGTGGTTCGAACCTACCAGCCACTCCTCAGAAACTCTAGACAGGGTTTCTATGAGTCATAATGAACATGAAGGCACTTAACAATGACAGCAACAGGGGAGGAAATACAAACTTCACCTCAAATGTACTTGAATAATTCAGAACCATTTTAAACTTACTTTGAAAATGAATACATGTAGCTAGCTGAGTCCACTTGTGTAAAAAACCATTTCTATAATTGGAAGTTCTCAGAATTAACTTTCATGTAAAATACAATGATTATCAAAGGATAATGAAAAAAATAATAATAAGCTTATTCTTAAAACTCAATAGCAACCAGTGTAATCATTTAAAATTTAGATCAACAACATATTTCATTTCAGGGAAGACTATTTTATCACTGGTATTCTTTAAACTGCAGGCACATGGTAATAATAAAAAGGAGGAAAATGTAAGTCAAGTTATCAGTGCTTTAACTTCTATCTGACCACCGCTTACACCCACCATGGTAGGCCGAGACTGCTCTGGGTCCTCTTTCTAAGAGTTAACAACAGTTGTGGGGGAGTAGACGCAGACTCATGGTAAACCCATGTGTGTCAGAGTAGAACTATGTTCTAGAGGGTTCTCACTGGCTGATTTTTCAGAAAGAGATCTTCAGATCTTTTTTCTGAGGCATCTCTAAATGAATTCGAACCTCCAACCATTCTGTAAGAAGTCAAGTACATTCATAATTTGCATATCTTCCAACAGTGGAATTTTTGTTTTTTTTCCTCACCTAAGTTAATAGGGTAAGCACTAGACCTCAAGGCCAGTTTAAACCGCAAGATCCGCAGTTCAAACTCACCAGCTGCTCCTCAGAAACTCTACACAGGGTCGCTATGAGTCAAAACCGACTTGGTGGCACTTAACAACAATGTTAATACCGAAAACACTGGTAGTACCACTAGTTTGATGTCATGTGGCATCGAGTCACTTGACTTGTAGTGACTGCATGGAACAGAGTAGAATTGCTGGCTTTTGACTACATTCCTGATTCTCAGGGAAGTTACATTTGAAAGACCCTGTACTAAATCTCTGAACACATATTTGAATGGGATCTTAGAAGGAGCCTGTCCAATGTCCTAGTTGTTAAAGTGTTGGGAAAAAAAAAAGGGAGCAGGTAAGCAAACTAAGACCACACAGTAGGTCCAGATTTCAGACTCATCGTCAGTGCTTTACCAAAAGTAAGTGGGGAGAGGTGTGAGAGATAGGCATGGGAGACTTGAGTCATTGGACTCCAACACGGGAACTGTTTTTCACACAAGAGACTGGCATTTCCCAATGTGGGGAGCATGTTCTCTAAGACCCTGCTCACTGATGTCAGAAAGATTGAGTTTCAAATCCAGTCCCACCACACATGACCTAAGGAAATTTTGTGAGCGTCAATTGGGCTATCTATAGAAAAGGAGAGTAACAACTACATAACAATGGCATGAAGGTGTCACTTGATTCTGTTATACATTTCATTCTGTTATACATAAGGTCACCATGAGTAGGAGACAACTCAGCAGCAAATAACAACAACAACGTCATGGACTTTTCACAGGAACTAAAGGAAACTCTGTGTATAAATTGCACTCATTCACTTCCTCTCCCCTCCCCTTCGCCACCAGCCCCAAAAAACTCAGATGTGTACCTCTGTTATGTAGCTTCAGAAGAGCACAGCAGACCCTCCACTAGGGTCATGCATGCTACCGCTCTGAAGAATGTCTAGCTTACAGTCCCTGGGCATCTGCCTGGAATACTTCCTGTTTAGGTGAGAGGCAGGGAGGCCCATTGTCCAGAGGGAACTACAAACTCATGACCCACCTAACAGGAATTCCACAGTCTGTGCCACCCTGCCCCACCCCGCTGCATCAGGAGGCGGGTGGTATGAAAGAGATGATGGAAAGGTACCTAAGGAATCCCTGCATGGAAGAAGCAAGAGAGGCTAGAAAGCCCCACTTGTTCAAGCTTCCCAGGTCAGCCTGACCCCAGCAGAAATTCAAAACCCTCAAACCCAGAGTTTGCCCACATCCCTGGATGAAAAATTGTCAAAAATCTTGACCCTGTGAGACTTCGTCAACAGGAAAAGCAATCAAGCCACAGCCAGCCGGATTTGGTTTTACAACAATGTGCAACTTCATTCTGGTTTCTGAATAGCAGCAACGTTGTTGTTGTTGTTATGTGCCGCGTAGTCGATTCCGACTCATAGCAACCCTGTACAGGGTTTCTGAGGCTGTAAATCTTTACGAAGCCTCATCTTTCTCCTGCGGAACAGCTGGTAGGTTCGAACTGCTGACCTTGTGGTTCGCAGCCGGATTCGTAACCACTAAATAACAACAAAATAACAAACAACAACCACATAAACAAAATAGCCTCTTCCTCTTTGACCAGGAGTTAAGGAAATCACAAAATATCTAAAACCATAAACTTTATCCTGCTCAGAAAATAAAACAGCCCAAATCTTTAAACCAGAAGCCACCTGGTATCATGGGATTTTCCTGGAAGTCAAGATCCTCCCATCCAAAAATCCCCAGCACCTGCCCAAACCTCAGACATACCTAGAATTGACTTTCTTTTTCTAAGCTATGTAAAACAATAATTATAATCCCCAAATTTCTTCATTCAACCTATATTAAATCAAAGTTATAATGAAAGAAGACAAAATTTTAATAGCTTGAGAAAATGCGAGATGTTGGTGTGAGTTAGGCTATGAAACCACAGTGCACTGAGCTAATGATGACATCTAATTATGCAGATAAAGGTAAAAGCAGGAAATTGGCCAGACATTGACCTTAAAGATATAAGAATTCAAGCATTAGCCAGGTGGGGGGAAAAGTAATTCTTCTTAGATTGTTCTTTAAGTGCTGTAAAGTCGGTTCTGACTCATGTTGATGCTGTATAGGGTTTCTGAAGAGTGGCTGGTAGGTCTGAACCCTGACTTTGTGGTGAGCAGTCCAGAGTTTATCCTACAACACCACACCAGGACTCTTATCAACTTATACTTGTTTATATCATGCTGTCATGAAAAACTGACGAGTTTGTTTTCAAAAGGCTTACCTGTGAGCTTTCTTTTGAACTCTCAAGACTTCTGGTTTGCAGCCTTTCACTTTGTGCTTATAGCACTTATGTTGGGAATTGTCAAAAGTAGGAACGTAGTAGTTGTTTTTTGTGTTTTTTATAGGCGTTGACTTGACTTTTGTATTATTTAACCCTGGAGCTTAGGCAGGAAGGGAACTTGTTTCTCTTCTTATATCAGTTATCCAAACCCAAACCCACTGCCATGAAGTCCATTCCAAATCATATCGACCCTACATAGAGTTTCTGAGACTGTAAATCTTTAGAGGAGCAGACTCCCTCATCAGGAGAAATGCTGAGCAGTGGGTTTGAACCATCGACTTGGGGTCAGCAGTCCAATACCTAATCCACAGAGCCACCAGGGATCCTTATCAATTCTTTTTGTTGTTGTTGTTAAGTGCCGTCAAGTCAAGAGCAAGTAAAATTAAATGGTGACTGTAGCAGACATGGAGTCCTGGTGTGGCACTGTGAGTTAGTGCGCTGGATTGC